TATTGCTTTCTTATTGTTGATTATTGCTTCAGGCGCAACATGATTATCTCGGTTGGGGTTAATTTGGAAAGATTGGTTTATTATTGCCATTGACAACTTGGTTTCTCTCTTTAAACAATTATTTGGAACTAACAATAAGTTTACATTCGTCTTTGATAAAGGCATAAAGCACATAAGCATTAAAGAAATTCATCATACATACATAAAAAGGATATGAAAAATGTCTTTCATTCGTTATGTTATTCAGATTCGAATGTTAGATATGTTATATGTACAATACAATAATGTATTTTTTTCAATTAATTTTTTTTTATATTTGGATTGTCTAACCTCCATATCTACATTCATTGTATATATGTCAAACACAAGTACTTTAAAAGAAATGAAGAATCCAACAATTAACATAGTTCATTACGCCTAGACCTTAACCTTCGTATTGAGCCCCTAGTGCTTTTTAGTTTATCCTCTTCTATTCTTCTATGGTGCTTTTTAACTCCTCTTTTGATTGTCTCTGCCTTGGGCCCCAAAGGCTTTCAAAATTTTTGGCGGGGCCTTGGGCCCCACACGCTTCCACAACGGTTCGCCATGTAGTTTCAATTAGTGACTTATCCGGAAGAAAGGAAAGAAAAAAACAGAACTAATGACAGACGTCAAATTTTACATTTTTTTTATTATAATTTTTTATTTAAATTTAAGTTTATATATATTGAGAAGCTAGCCATTGACGCTTGTGGGGTTATAAAAGAACAAAAAGCTCAAGATTTTTAATTTTCCTCTTGCCTTAAATTCTGAACTTTTGTATTTTATTTTTTTTTCTACTTAAAGAAAATATAAAATATTTTTACTATGTTTACTCTGCGTACAGTGGCTGATTTTTTTTTTCTTTTGTTTTCTCTGTTTTCATGGTTTTGTTATGTATAAAAAGTAAAACTAGTATGGTACAAAAGGCTATAAACAAAAATTAATGATAATAATTTGTAGCAACATCGTTTTGGCTGGTTGTTGTGCAAACAAGTCATCCATCCAAGTCTTAATTTCTGTGCAACGCGCTCTTTACTTTGATGTGAATGATCATCGCTGGAACAGTTACTCTTCAACATATTGCCATTTTGTGCTTAATTGAAAGCAACTTTAATTGCTGTTGAGGGCTGAAGGCATTGTTTTGCCCAATCGACACTCTGATGTCTGCAGTGTTGAGTTTTGGATTTTTCTAGTACACTCAAACGAATCCCACAACTTTTAAGTGGAGCCCACGTTCGCAGCCCTTAGCATGGATTTTTTTGAGTGGATACGTTTAAACGTTGAAGCTTTATCTTGCTTCACCGTACTGGTCTTGACTTTGAACGAACTTTGCTTTAAAACTCACTGGTTAGCACATTTTCTGAACATTCGTTAATTGAAAGCGACTTTGCTTACCTCCCATGGTTCGTCCCTTAAGCTGTAAGGCAAAGAAGGATCGACGGGCATCTATATATTGCTTTTTAATTTGTGGACTTGATAGAAACTTTAGGCAAAATCAAGTGTTCTTGAGCTAAGCTACGTGCCAAAACCAGCCCCACAACGTGTACGTCAAGAGACATTAAATTTGATCCTTTGAACTTTAAAGTTCGCTGATGGGAAGGCAGGTGGAGCACATCACAGCTATTTCTAAGAAAAATCTGGTCATTGGTCTTTGGACTTATTGGTTATTAGTTGAACGTATGCTTCGGTTTTGATAGTTGCTTTTAGCTTTGCATAAACGTAGTCCTTCGTAAACGACGGAGAAGGGACTAGGTAGTCATAAGGATTTTCTTTAATGAAGCACCTTCAATTTGATGGTACTCTCTTACATTAATTGAAAGATTAGCCGGATGGGTTTTGGCTTTGTGCATGCAATTAAATTAACATATAAAGATTTTGTCTTTGAAGCAACTTAAGTAATACTAGATTTAATTTTTAGGGTTTCAATGTGAGGCATTTTATAAATCGGTTGTGGTATATAAGGAAAAATTTAAATTTAAATTTGTAAAGTATTTTTTTGAAATAAAATTATAAAATTTTTGAGTCAATAATATCTATTAATTTAGGTGTGATGAATATGTACAATTAATATCAGGCAATTATAAACTGATAAAAAAATGTTATACAATAAAAATTACTTTTAAATCGCAATAAATGAGACCTAATATTATACTATGTGAGTACCACTTTTAAAATTTTCATTTTTAGTATGACTTTAATTTTTAAAATTTTTATTTCTAGTATGACTTTAATTTTATATTTAGTATGATCTTAATTTTTTATATACTATATTAAACTTGATAAAAACATTAAACTTTAATAAGCAAATTTATAACACGCAATCTTATTCTAAAATATTTTAAAATTTTATTATGATATATATATATAAATCTAAATTTAAAAATTTTAAATTTTTTTAATCAAAATAAATAATATTTCGCATACATATATAACGTAATAACTGTAAGGAACGAGATATCATTTTCCAGCTGAAGGCTCTAAGTAATCTTGCTTTTCTCCCGTTTTGACGTTAACTTTTTGAGGTTTAGGGTACTGATTAATATTTTTTAGAGAGAGAAAAAAAAAGAAATAGTACTCCCTTTGTCTTAATTTATTTATACCTCAATTTGGTTCTTTTAACCGAAATTGATTGAACTTTTTACCTTCAATTATTAAATTATTAGATTGATTAATTAAAAATTTAAAAAGGTTTTAAATTCTTTTCTCAAGTACATAAGGATTTTGAATTGCATTAATATAAGAAAGTTTTCTCCAATATCCTATATTTTATCTTATTTATCATAAAATTCAACAACAAGAGATCAATTAAACTTCAAGTTTCAACAGTTGCTTGAATTTTATACTCGTGATTTTTTTATAGTCAATATTTTGCAAAATATAGATGTACAAAATTATGTTTATTTGACCAGACAAGTTAAACAAGGAGAACCAAAATGAGAGTAGGAGAAAAATGTAGGTAGAAAATACAGTTTTTAACCTTTAATTTGCATCATCTTATAAAACTTTGACGTGCAGTATCACTCTCTTTTAGCAGTTGAAAGTGTATTCAACCGGACTTTGCTGCTCAATTACTTTTTATTGGATTCTTATCTTAAATTTTTAAAGGACTTGGAAGTTAAAATATTGAAAATCGAGTGAATGGTGCAGATTCTAAAGGCAGATTGGTTTTCTAGAAAATTAGATTTAGGGTCTATTTGGATACTAGTAAGATTAATTTTGATGAGATTGAAAATAATAATAAATAAAATATTAATTACTGTAACAATAAGATTAAAATCAATGTTGAGACATATGTTTGAACCCAAAAATAATAATGACAGTGAGGTGAATTGGATTGAAAAGAAAAAAAAATTATTAAAGCCATTAAAATTAAAATGTCACTACAGGGGTTTAAGTTTTTAGTGACATTTTTTTTTAATGTTTAGCAGCGCTTATAAACGTTACTAAAAGATTTACGGGATTTGTAAAAAATGACCGTCAGAGTATCGACTATACACACATTGTAAAAAATAACGACATTTACAAAAAAATATCTAAATATTAACGGCATTTATATCTGAAATGTTATCATTTTAGTGACGTTTTTATTTTTAAAATGCCGCTAATTAATGACATTTTATGAAAAAAAATGTCAGCTCACCTAAACACTTTTTCATCTTCACCTTGAACAACCCAAAGCGAAGTTATTTCGACAATCTTTGAGCAGATCATATACCAACCTAAAGCATACTTGCAAGATCAGACTAATGCCAAGTCGGCATAAGCTATGACCTGTCCAGATTAAGTCGAACAACAAAGATAGACCTCTAACACTTATCCATCACGTCAGCCTTATTGACATTTGACCTTAGTGATAAGAGGTCAAATCCCAAGCAATCTTTCAAAGCCTATATTTGTAGAGATTGAGTTCACAAACATATGCAAAAATAAACTAATCACACACCCAACAATTTAATACTCAAACTATTTAATAAAGAGATCAAATATTATAGGTATTTAATGGTAAAAAAAGTATTGTAGCATTTTTTTTCCTTATTAAAAGTTGTCAACAAATAGCTAGAGGTATTTTGAACATTCAAACCAACCTAACGTGTTAGACTAACTTGACATATTTAATATTACATCTGTTTAACCATGTCACTAATGTCCCTTATGGGTCCTTCACGTTTTACCTATAAATATGAACATCAAAATACTATCATTCCATTCTATATGTTGTTATAATTCCCCATTTTTCTTATCTTTTCTCTTTTTAACTTTTTTTATATTAATTTTTAACTTGTGCATCGAAATGCAAATATAAAAAAACTCCTTGCTTTTGCATCTAACTACTCTTTTCCTTTCTTATCTTTTTAGAGATACCCTCAAGTTGGATTCTGGTTGTTTTTTGGGAGCCAACCAACATCGGCAAGCGGCAGTCAGTGATAGCTAAAGGCAAAAGAGGTGGCGGCCAATGGCGGCAAACTATAGGAATCTAGGATTAGGTGGTTGATGTTCTTGGATTTTGAGAGTGTTGGAAGCTTTTTTTTAGAAAAAATGTTTGAAGTGAAATAAAAAAAAGACTTACCTTTTATAGAAAAAAATCAGACGATTGATGAGTTGGAATAGACTCGAGGTCTACGCACCTAACCTATGCTAGGCTGTAGTGGACCATCCCTAGATGGGTCCAATTGAACTGTGATTGAATTGGTCAAACTACAACTGAATCCGTCCAATATGTATCAGCGCCTAAATAGTCTGAGGAACTGCGAAATTGAACTGATCATTATCAAACTATTGCCTAGTTTTGACCAATTTTTTGGATAATATTTTTAGCACTTAATCATGTTCTGAACGTACTTTAAATTCATTGGATCTAAATATCGAACCAAATACAAGTTGATTAATAGTCCTTTCTGGGATAGATAGTTGTTGGTCACGTCGATGATCTATATATTGGTATGTTGTGTCACGAATTATATCTCAAGTGATAGCAAAAAATTAACCCAACTTCTATAGTTCCAAACTAAAGCTTTCTTCATGGCTCTTCAATCCTCCAAAATTTTGGTTGCTACCGCCAAAGTTTTAGATCAAAAAATTGTTAGGCGATCTGCTAATTACCATCCTACAATTTGGAAGGACGATTATATTCAGTCGCTCAAGAGTGATTACATGGTATGCAGAATGGTAATTACCAACATATATATATATATATTTTGAGCATGACAGGTAGCTAACAGAGTTGCTTATCGTCGATAGGGAGAATCGTATGGTGAACGAGCAGTGAAACTGGTGGGAGAAGTGAAAATGATGCTTGACAAAGTGATGGATCCTTTGGAGCAACTCGAGCTGGTCGATGCGTTGCAGAGACTCGGATTATCTCATCACTTTGAGAATGAAACCAAGAGGATTTTGGAGTATGTAACGGCTGACCATACCAATTTGTATGCTACATCACTTGAATTTAGGCTCCTAAGGCAGCATGGGTATAAAGTAACTCCAGGTAAAAGTCCAAGTAGTAATTAATTGTGTAAATATAAAATAAAAAAATTGGAGAAATATTGATAATTACAGTTGAAAATTTTATTACATGCAGAGGTTTTCTCCCATTTCATGGACGAGATAGGGAACTTGAAGGCAGGTTATTGTGAGGATTGGAAAGGGCTGCTGAGCTTGTATGAAGCTTCATACCTTTTGTTTGAGGGTGAGAGCATATTGGAGAAGGCAAGAGATTGTGCAGCAAAACAACTCAAAGAATATCTGAAGCAGAACAAGGATGTATATAATGTGTCGATGCTAGTGGATCATGCTTTGGAACTTCCATTGCATTGGAGACTACCAAGGTTGGAAACCAGATGGTTCATAGAAGTGTACCAAAAAAGAGAGGACAGACATCAGAGTCTTCTGGACCTTGCTAAATTGGACTTCAATATGTTGCAAGCTGTTCACCAGGATGATCTAAGACATGCTTCCAAGTAAGTTCGTTCAAATTTAAATTATATATATTTTTTTATATTCGGCCAATAGGAAAAATCCTGAGCTACGCTACAAAGATATTATAAATATATCGATATTATAAATATATCAGCAGATTTCATGTCTTTTTTTAAGTACATGTAAGGCTAACACCCCCCCCCCCCCCAAAAAAAAACAAAAAAAGAAATAATAAACTTAAATAAAGTGAATATTTATACATTCTATCATGTCTATGTCCTAATTCCAATATAATACTTACAAGTTTTACTTTTTATATGTTTAAATAACTTTTTTACAGAAAAAACCATGGAACATCAAAATTATAACATTTTCGAAATTTTAATATAAAACTACTAAAATCATAGCATTTTTTAGTTTTGTTTCTTTTGTCCAGTAAAAAAAAAGAAAAAAGAACATTCAATTTTAGACATAATTAAACAATGATGGAATACTGTTAAATGTCATTTACAACAGAAAAAAAAAGACATAAATAGGAGTTGATATATATCAAAAGCTATATAAAAACTCCCTTAATTAATTAATTAATTAATTAATTAATTGATTGATTGATTAATCTATTCTATTTATAGTTTTGAATTAATTTTACAGAAAACGATTTTCTTAAACTTCTGTGCAGGTGGTGGAAAGATCTGTGTCTTGGGGAAAAGTTGATGTTTGCCAGAGACAGGGTGGTGGAGTGCTTTTTATGGGCTATGGGCGTGGCAACTGATCTTCACTTTGGTAATTGTAGAAGAATTCTCGCTAAGGTTGGTGCACTAATAACAATTATAGATGATATTTATGATGTGTATGGTACCATGGATGAATTACTGCTCTTCACCGAGGCTGTTGAGAGGTTCGTATGGTTCTCTAACTCTCTACTTTGTATAAAAGATGACCAGAGAGAATCAGTGATCTATTTTTTAATTTAAAAGCTAGGTTTCATAATATTTTTTAGTTACTTTATAACTCAAATCATTGAATATTTAAGCTTAATTTAGTTCATCCCTTAAATTTATATTTAGCATTAAAATTTAAAACAATTGTATTAATATTTTCAAAATATTTTTAATTAAAATTAAATTAAAAATTTTTTACCGAATCTAAAAAAATCCTATTTATAGGACCCAGATTTGAATAGTTCAAACCCATAGCTCAACCAGTGAACACCTCTACCCTTATTCCCAACCAAGCAAAGCCTTATGTAATTTTTTTTTTTCTGTATGAAATTTTAATCTTTATGATTCCAGATGGGACACAAATACAATGGAGTTGTTTCCTGAATATATGAAGGTATGTTTCCTTGCTCTTTTCAACTTCGTAAACGAAACAGCCTTCGCCATTCTCAAGGAGCAAGGATTCGATACCTTACCTCTCATGAAGAAAATGGTACTGAAACCCTACTATTATATATCTAGTTTTGAATTACTTTTATTTCATGATCTTTTCCTTCTAGATTTCGATTTTGTTAGTGATCATGATTTCTTTCATAAATGTACAGTGGGCAGACCAATGCAAAGCTTACTTATTGGAGGCGAAGTGGTATTATAATGGATATACACCAACTTTAGAAGAGTATCTTGAAAATGGACTGATTTCCATTGCCTTTCCTGTAATACTATTTCATGCTTATTTGGCTACAAATTCAATAAGAAAGGAGTGCATGGAATGCTTCGAAGAGTGTTCCAACCTAATCAAGTTTTCATCTGTGATAGCACGGCTTGCGAATGATCTTGGAACATCATCGGTATGAAATATACAAGCATCATTGCTTGCTGTGAATTGAAATATATTTATGTAATGCTTTACCCTTTGGATTTTCTTGATTAGGATGAGTTGAAAAGAGGCGATGTTCCTAAATCAATCCGATGTTACATGCACGAAACTGGAGCTTCGGATGAAGAAGCCCGTCAGCACATACGGGCGTTGATTGATGCATGGTGGAAAAGGCTAAACGAAGAGCGATTTGCTCATTCTCCTTTTTCTCAGACGTTTATTCAATTTGCATTGAATGTGCCAAGGATGAGTCAATGCATGTACCAGCATGGTGATGGCCATGGGATTGGAGATCGTGAGACTAAGGATCGTGTATTAGCATTAATCGTTTTTCCTATTCCATAGACCAAAATAATTGGAGGCTAGGTGATATAGCAATCCTTTTGTAGTAACTTTTGTCAGTGAAGTTCCAATTGTTGAGCCTCTATAAATATAAATTCAAATAATTGATAAGTTTCCTGCTCTTAGCGGGTTTATCGATAATAAAATTTCTATCTCTGTCCATATCAATTAGCTTTGTGATAATTTTGTTACGCTAGTCACTTAATTCCTTAAACTCATTACATAAATGTGATTTGAGTTTTTTTCATTAGTTTATCTTTTTTAGATCAGATATAAACTTGTCTATGAATCAAGCTTAATATCTGGTCTGCGAGAATGGCACGACTTGAGGTTGGACTTTAAACAAAAACTTTTAAGTTTGTGTCTAGAGCAACTCGAAATATTATTTTATTTTATTAATAATAATTAGTCTACATAGATTTTAATAAACAACTTATATGAAATCTTGTATAAAATTTTAAAAGCATCAATCAAATATGTTTTTATCGAGTTTTATTCATAAACACTTTTAGTTAGATACTAAACGGTTTTTTTTCTTTTCTTATTATCTCCTACAACATATATAATTAAGTCACCCACTCCTAAGATCTCCGGATTACCTCGAGAAGCACCATACGTGTTTAACTTAACCACCTCACCAAACTTCTCTCTTTAAGTATCGTTCACTTTCTTACATAAGGCATCATGAATTTCTGAGGCTATTTGAATTATAAGACGCATATCAATTCTAATTTTTCAGTGCAATACTAATCAATCAAATTTTAATATTGTGTGAGATTTATTAAAAATTTTTATAAAACTCACACTTTAAAATAGTGAATCTCCTGGTTAATTATATCACTTTAGTAGAAATAATTGTAAGTGAATTTCTCCCATTTGAATAATGTTGAAGATCGTCACAAATTACAATCTTATCAAATTGCTTAAAATAGGTCATATTTAATATGAATATAACTTGTCCAATCGTTAAATCATATTAATCATGCATGTTGCTCCTTATAACTTTGATTCATCTAACTTGTTTAAATATTCTTTTAAATGTAAACATAAGAGTAATGATTCATTTATAGTAGTGTAAGTCTTGTACTTGTTTTTATTATTGGATCAAAATTAAATCTTTGACTAATTTAGATTAAAATAATATTTTTAATTTTAACCATTTTGATCCAATAAAAAAAAAGGTGTAACACTCGCACTTGTATATATGCATCTCTCCTCTCTCTCTCTCTGTATATAAACCATTTCAACCTTATATAAAAATTATTTTTGAAAACTTAATTATAAGGAAAATTAGTAAAACTATCAAGTTAATAAAGTTATTAGAGATCGGGCTCCCCCTCGATCTAAGCAAAGCTATGTAAGGTTCACTAGAGGCTTGAGCCCCTATTAAGGTAAAACAAATATTGAAATCATGTGTATCTTAGACAAAATTTAAAGAATCCTTGATTAGAATTGGGCCAAGTTGTTGGTTGGATTGATCAAATTTATGATCTGACACCTAGATCAGTTTAGTTTTATTATTAGAAAAAATTTTTAATTAATCCGCTTCAAACCATATTGAATCAATAATAAAATTAATAAATCACTACATGAAAATAGATATTTAGTGGTTGTTTTTTAGAGGCATTTTTAAATAAACGACATAAAGTTTTGTATTTTTATAAGGTTACTAGCTTTTTTTTATAAAATGCCACTAAATTCTTATATAGCTAGTGTGGGCACCAATTTTGTTCTTCTTTCTTTACTATTATATAATTTTGTTTATTATTATTATTATTATTAATCTTTAAAACAAAAGGAAAAAAAAAGTAAAAAAAAAAAAAAAGGTCTTTGATTTCAACTATGGCAGTCGAAATTAAGCTGCCATAATGGTCTAAATTTCTTCCTGACACTGCCTAACTTAGTAGCATAAAATTCGGTGATCAAAGTTACTGAATAGACCTCTAAAGTTTTGTATTTTTATAAGGTTAGTAGCATTTTTTTTATAAAATCTCACTAAATTCTTATATAATGAGATTTAGATTTAAAAACGTCACTAAAAATATATTTTTAGTGACATTGATTGACCTAAACGCTACTACATACTTTCACTTTTATAAAATTGGTGGCGTTTACATAAACTTCGCTAAAAACAAATCTACAAACTAAAAAAAAAACTCAATGAGCATTTGGTTCGGGGGAATCCAAATATTTTTCATCAGTATCTTACTGTTAGGTATTTGATTCCAACATATGGTTTAGGGTAATCTGATTTCGGAGAAAACTGACAAATTTTTAACATTACCCAAAGTCCTGAAATCAGAAACCCAAATCTCCTTATGGTAGTCTGTGATCCGAGGGGGCAAGTAGTTTTATTTTCAAATTTGACCTGACTAAAAAATTGTGAAATAACCATTTCTATTTTGAAAAGCATATTTGGTAATGAATGCAAGTCAATTGTTGGTTTCTGCTGGTAAAAAATTTGGTTTATATATGGCATTTGGCATAAAATATGCCTTTAATAATCCCTTATAAAAAAATTGAATGGGGTTATTAAAAGTATTTCTAGCTAAAAATACATTGAATAATCCCTTTCAATTTTTATGAGGGGATTATTCAAAATATTTTTTAGGGTTATTGAAGGTGTTTCTGGCCAAAACGCCCTGAATAATGCCCTTCAATTTTTATTGAAGGTGTTTTTGAGCAAAATCGCCTTGAATAATCCCAAAAAAAATAGAAGTGGATTATTCAAGGCATTTTTGGTTAGAAACGCTATGAATAACCTAATTCAATTTTTTATAAGGGATTATTCAATGCATTTTCTAGCAAAAAACTCCTTGAATAATCTCCAAAAAAAAGAAAGGATATTATTGAAGGCATTTTTAGTTAAAAATGCCTTCAATAATCCCAAAAAAATTGGAAGGGATTATTAAAGGCACTTTTGGCTAAAAACACCTTGAATAATCCTCTCCGATTTTTAATTGAAGGGGATTATTCAAGGTGTTTTGGGCCAAAAACACATTTAATAGTCCCATTCAATTTTTTGTGAGTGATTATTCAAGGCATTTTTTTGCCTTGAATAATCCCTTCTAAATTTTTAATTGGAGGGGATTATTCAAGGCATTTTTTACCATAAATGCCTTGAGTAATCCCAAAAAAAAATTGGAGAGGATTATTGAAAGTGTTTTTGACAAAAAAATGCATTGAATAATCACACTTTCCCACTACTAAATTTCTCTTGAATTTCAAATTCGAGAGACCTACTTTCTACTTTCCTTTCCCATATTCATTTCTTCCATTTATGCTCATTTTGGGTAGCTTTCTTCTCATTTTTGGCCTAAGTTTCAATCATTTTGTGGTGAATTTTTATCTTCTTTCTTTTAATTTTTGCAAAATTCAAGTTAGCTTTCTTGCATTTTGGGTCCAATTCTTAAACTTCTTGTTTGATTTGTTCAGTCAAATCCCTAAACTTCATGTCTAATTTATTGCATTTTTGTCACCACTGAAGTCCCATTGGTAAGCTCCATTTCAATATTGGCAATTTTCAATGTTTGGCCATTTGATTTATTATGTTCTTGCCACCATTCAAGCTCCACTGGTAAGCTCCATTGGTAAGCTCCATTTTAATATTGGCAATTTTCAATATTTGGCTATTCTTTTTCTTTTTTTACTAATTAATTTCGTTATTGCAGTTTTGAGTTTGATTTTGTTTTGTTGGTGAGAAAAATTCAAGATAGAACATAAAGTGAAACAAATAGGCTTTTTCTCTAAAAAACTTAAAATTGAACATTGAATTTAGTTACAAACACGAATGAAATTTTAGGTTTAATTTTTTTTTCAATAGAATATTTTTGAAATTATTAAAAACTTGTTACTTGTTAACATGAATTTGTTAATTCATTCAAGATATCTGTAGACACTCATATATGTCTGGAGTCTACCGCATCAATTTTTATTATTTGTGCCATTACTATTACATAACTATACTCTTATTATATTACTACAATACTATTATTATAATATTATAGTGCTATATTATATTATTATTATAGTATTTTGATATTATATTACTTTTATTATATTAGTATTATATTATATTATAATATATTATTATATTATAATAGGTTATCATATTATAGTTATTATTATTATTAATATTATTATATTCGATATTATTATTATTTTATTTTTTTATCAGATTTTCTTTCCTTTTTCCTGATCGGGGCTGAACAAATTATAGAAATCAAAATCAAATTAGTTAGTCAAAGGTTTTTAATGCAGAATCATGTTTGGATAACGGTTGAATTCAATGGTGATTAAATCCATGAACAAAATCATGCTTATGTAGAATCTAATTCCAAGATTCAAGCATGAGATTGATTATATTCGTTTCTTAAAATTTGTTACAAGGGGGCCTATAAATTTAATAAGAAATCAAAGGAATGATAGAGAAAAAGGAGTGAAAAGCTGAGGTTATTAGTTTGGAAATAACTTTTGGGTAGTAGGGTTTTCTGGAAAAATTTGGTTTTCTGGGACTTGGATTCTTAGGAATTCTGGGTTTCATCTAAAGTTTCTAGGTTTAGATTTGGGATTCTAAGATTAGGTTTAGATTTTTGGAGGGATTTTGGAGAATTTGGGAAAAATCTATTTTTTTCTGGAAACTTTTAGAATTTTAGAAAAATATATAAATTTTTCGATGAAGCTTTCAGTGGGAGTTGAAATTTTCGTTAAGATTCCGACAAGATTCCAAAACCCAACAAAGTTTCCAGATTTTGATTAAATTTGTGTGTAGGTTTTTAGAGAGAAAAAAGTTAGTTTTTAGGTTAGAGAGAGTATGGGTAAAAGGTTTCTAAAGCTAAACGTAAAGGCTTGGTTTTTGCACTGGTCCAAAATGACAACGTTCTGAACACTTTAGATCTGCGTGTCTACCTAGCAACCCACATGAAGATCTGTGAACAAACCTGACTCATTTTGCAGTTTGTTTTTCATTTTCATTTTATTTTCTAATTTTATTTTATTTTATTTATTTTCTTAAGCTTTTATTTTATTTTTACTAATTTTTTATTTAATTTTATTGGTTTTCAAAAAAAAGAAAAAAAAACCTTTTCTGGAAAATTAAAGAAGCAAAGAATAAAAAAATCTTTTTGAAAAGGAAAAAAAGCTAAATAAAAAAAATCTTTTAAACAATATTAAAAAACAAAGAAATAAATGTAAAAATGAAATCTTTTTCAAATAAATTTATGAAATCCACCAAACTATTGGGAAATTTCATGAATTAGTTTTTTTTTCAAAAAGAATAATAGAATAATTTTTTCCCTCTAAATTATTGAAGAATTATTTTTAAATTAAGTCCTACCAAACTATTGGGAGACTTAATGAAACTCACAAAATTTTTATAAATCTTTGTAAAATAAAATCTTGTCATGCTATGGGAAGATCTGTTTCAAAGTAAGTCCTGCCAAACTATTAAAAGACTTTACTAATTTTTTTGAAATAAAGTAAATTAAAAAATTTGATGACGGAGCCTCTTCAGAGTGGGACACTAGTCACTATGAATACTCTTGAGGTGAGAAAATTATCTTAAATTGCTATCAAACTATTTGGACAATTTTAAGGCTAATTCTTGATATTAAATAATTTGGTAAATTACAAATATGATCAAGGCTTGAATAATCTGAAATCAAACTGGTACCATTGTTTGGATGAGCATTGTGAGGGTGCTGTAACCTTTTTCACGCCAAACTGTACTCCCAAACCTAAAATCTGGTTTTGTAGATTCAATCAAGTGGTCAATCACACCTAAACAAAAAGGATTGGTGGTGACTCTTCTAATCCATGTCTAGTGATAGGTCCACAGATTTATACGTTATGACAATTTGATGACTCCACTAGGGAACATCGAAAGTCAAGCTAGTCAATGATTACTTATTATCCAAGCCTTACTTAATAAACTTGAGATTATTTTCTATCTTTCCTATTTATTTCTTTTCATTGCTTATACTTGCTTAATTACTTATTTATTTCTTTTCATTGCTTATGCTTGCTTAATTAATTAATTAATTAATTATTATATTTGTCATTCATTTGCATATGCATAATATAAGTTCTCCACCTA